AAACTTGTGTTGAAAATTACCAATCTGACTCGGAATAGCCTGAGTAAAATTGGGATCTTTAGCAAGGCAATTCTACTTCCAAGTGCCCCGAATCTCCAGCTTCTAACTTAATTTTTTAATTTCTTTGTTAAATATAGCCCAATCTGGCTCAGGAATTGCCCAGACTTGGATCGAATCGGAATAGAACCGTGGTGAGTCGAAGCGCAATTCCTATTTTTCAAACACTGCTGTAAACTATTATTTGGAAGTGTTGGCCTGGACAAGGCCAGCCTCACCGTTTGGGCCCCATGTTATGCTTTGCATGTCATATACACCAGCCGCATGGCATTAGTGGATTCCGAATACCTTTATCTCATCCATATGCCAATAAATTTAAAACTAAATGGAAAAATATTGACAAATGGGAAACAATTGTTGGGAAAAGTTTTAAAAAGATACTGATAAATGATTCCTTGCACAGGACAAAAAAAATGAAACAACAGACAGGGCGGAGAAGATCTTAATAAGGTAATTTTCATTCATTTTAAAGATATAGAGAACCCTAATATCCTCTTACATCCATATGAAAACTGTGAAAGCAAGAATTGTAGGTACAAACGAATCACAAAAGAAAAAAACAAGCTATATTATAACAGAGAAACAAAAGTTTAAAACAAAAATGTAGAGAAGGCAAATTGCCAAGAGCGGCGTAGAAACCCGGATTAGGTCCTGAGATTTGCCAAACCCAACTCAGGATTGACGCCATGATTGAGTGACAAAGAAGAAAACAACAGATGGGTTGGGTGCTTCAATTGCAAATGAAGTTTCATGCTAGTCCCTAATCCTCAAAATTATAGATATTAGATAGAGAGGGGGATTAGCCGACCCCAAATAGTTGGGAAAAGGCGATGATGATGATGAGATAGAGAAGGGATCATCATGAAAGTGAGAAGAAAATAGACTAGAACACAAGGAAACAGAAAAAAAGACTCAAGAGTAAGACACTCGAGAGAATCATAATCAAGTCGCAAACAAAACACAATAACTAATTTCACAATTCAAGTACATAAACAGACAACTAGATCTCACAGGATGGAGTGAATGCAGAATAGAGAGAGACTTAAGAACACACTAAGATCTTCCTATCCCCCTAATAAACCACAACAATTAAAAAAAAAATGATCAGAACTAAGATGCTAGATCTCATCAACTTGAAGGAATTGAATGAAGACACAGATCCAGGGGCCAAAATCAACACAAACAGCTCAGCTCATCAAGCTCGTGGAACACTAACAGGTGAGAAGAAACATGGAAGTTTACTATTCAGAACTAAAAAACAAACAATTGCAGATGAACCTAACAAATTGCCACAGCAAGACCAGAGAAGAGATACCGCATGATCAGATCAGAATCCCACAGGGGAAAAAAAGAGAAAAATAACCAAAAATTCCCAAGAAATAAAAATCAAAAGCAACATCAACAAATACCAGCACCCCACTGCACTTACTCCAAGGATCTGATTTAGGGTTGTTGCCTAGCATCAATGAACCCAGCATCAACCAAAACTTTTTCTCTCTTTGCGAGCTCTACATCTTCATTCACCATCATCTTCACCAGCTCCTTAAACCCCACCTTGGGGCTCCACTCCAAAACCTGCCTCGCTTTGCTCGCATCCCCCCTCAAATTATCCACTTCAGCAGGCCTAAAATACCTGGGATCAATGCAGACATGATCCTTCCACCTCAGACCAACGCACCCAAATGCCTCCTCCAAAAACTCCTGCACGCTGTGCGCCTCCTCGGTCGCCACCACATAGTCGTCAGGCGTGTCCTGCTGAAGCATCAGCCACATCGCCCTCACATAGTCCCCCGCAAATCCCCAATCCCTCTGCGCCTTCAAATTCCCCAGGAACAATTTCTTCTGCAATCCGACCACTATGCGACCCACCGCTCTTGTGATCTTTCTAGTAACAAAATTCTCTCCCCTTCTCGGGCTCTCATGGTTGAACAGGATCCCATTGCAGGCGAAGAGGCCATAGGCCTCACGATAGTTCACCGTGTACCAGTGGGCCGCCACTTTTGAGGCCGCATAAGGGGATCGGGGGTGAAATGGCGTGGATTCAGATTGCGGCGGAGGGGTGGATCCGTACATTTCGGAGGAGCCGGCCTGGTAGTATCGGACATGGCGGCCAGTGGTATGGATGTGGGCACGGACCGCCTCCAGGAGGCGGAGGGCACCAGTGGCAACAACATCAGCGGTGTAGTCAGGGGTCTCAAAAGAGACAGCAACATGGGACTGGGCTGCCAGGTTGTAGACCTCGTCAGGAGCAATGGTGTCTACCCAGCGCCGCAGGGAGGAAGCATCGGTGAGGTCGGCATAGTGGAGGCGCATGCGAGCGTGCTGGGCGTTGTGGGGGTCGATGTAGAGGTGGTTGAGGCGCTGCGTGTTGAAGTTGGAGGAGCGGCGGATGAGGCCGTGGACCTCATAGCCCTTCTCTAAGAGAAATTCGGTGAGGTAGGAGCCATCTTGGCCGGTGATGCCCGTGATTAGGGCTTTTTTGGGCGGAGAGGATGCTGGCTCTGTTGCAGTGGCGGTGGCCATGGTTCGAGAGAGGTGGGTGATGGGTTTTGGAGTGGAGGAATGGGATCTGAATGTGAGAGAGCGCGTGTTTTGGGTTTCTTTTCTCCCTCACAAAGACCGTGGATTGTGCAGGGATCGACGCGTAGAGGTGGGAACGGGAACTTTTTTTAATTAAGGATCAAATTTCTATATGACTTAGGCTTTATGGAAATAGAACGGATCTTGGGATATGGGAATATTTATTTTTAGGGCGAAATGGCCGGATTACATAATATTAATTTTAGAACTTCAAATCTTGTTTTTTTTCATAACCATAATGTTTGAATTGTAATTTTTTATTAATTATAAAGTAAGTGTTTATCGGCCTGCAATAACCTTTACTTGTTTATTGCAGCCCTATCAAATCATTTTCTTTTAATTATAGAGAGATGGGTAATAACATGGAAAATTGTTTCTACAATGGTCCATCTAAAAAGAAGTGTAATTAACGATCCAAATGTTTTTTTTTTTAATTTTCAAATTAGTTTTTGCATATTCAGGATCTCCAAATTAAAAATTATATATTCTCTAAAAATTAATTAAGATCAAATAATATTTTAAAATATATCTATGCCAAGCCCGCATTTCTACAATATGCGGCTGGCCGCATAAAAACCTTGTCCATGACATATTAAGATTCGTGTAGCACACCATAATAGTTAAAAGAAAGGCTCCAATGATGATGAGAGACGAGTAAGATGCAAGAACACATAGTTTTATTTTAATACAACTCGTCACGAAGCATTTATTTCTCTGGTTCTTATTTGAGTGCGGTTTGTATAAAGCCTATGCTCTAAATAATCAAATTCGAGCCCACATCAAAAATTTCATTAGAAGAGGTTGTTTTAATGCCCAAATATCTTCAAATCGATCATCTCGACATCAAGATGCATAGACATGAGAAAAAACTAGATTTCAAGTTTTAGAAATAGTGTATTTTGTAACGTATTTTTGGACCGTCAATTTTTAAGATTTTCAAGTTTTCATAGATCTCTCGATCTACACTATTTTTGAAGCCCTAATCATGGGCATCACCGGCCATTTTCCTTTAATTATAAGGATATGGGTAAAACATATGAAAAATTGTTTCTATAATAGGTGGTCCATCTAAAAACAAGTATAACTAACAATCCAAATGTTTTTTAAATATAATTAATACTTTAAGTTTTCAAATTATTATTATTATTTCATATTCATGATATCCATATTACAAATTATATATTTTCTAAAAATTAGGATCAAATTATATTTAAAAAATATATCTATTGTCAAACCTGCATTTCTACAATATGCTGGCCGACCGCATAAAAACCTAGTTCATAGTATATTAGGATTGGTGTGGCGCACCCAAATAGTTAAAAGAAAGGCTTCAATGATGATGAGATATGAGTAAGGTGCAAGAACGTGCGGATTTATTTCAAGACAACTCATCGCAAAGCATTTATTTCTCTGATTTTTGTTTGGGTGTGGTTTGTATAGAGCCTAGGCTCTAAATAATCAAATTAGAGGCTACCTTCAAATAGTTTTCAAAAATATCGTTTTAATACTAGAAATCACTTTGATGCTCTTAAAATATATTTTCATCTTTATGTATAAATTTTAAAGCTTCAAAAATAGTGTAAATCGATAGATCTATGAAAATCTTGAAAATTGACCGTCCAAAAATGTGCTACAAAATACATTATTTTCAAAACTTGAAATCTATTTTTTTTTTTATATCAGTACATCTTGATGTCGAGATGATAAATTTAAAGATATTTGAGCATCAAAACAACCTCTTCCAATAAAATTTTTGAGATAGACTCGAATTTGATTATTCAAAGCCTCAAACTTTTCCCTTCTTATTTTCTCCATTTACTTAGCGCTGATTTTCTCCTCTCCACTTGCTTTGAGAGAAGAGACCCCATGTTTTTTTTGTGTTAGGGGTGGAGGGAGGTTTTGATATGGAAGAAATGTCAAATGGGGAGATGAGAAACGCAACGAGTGCTTCTCTCACCAGTCAATGCCATGGCAGAGAATAAAGAGTTACAGGTGAAAGATGACTAACCACGTGAACCATTGTCATTTTTAAATAATCGAAAATTATTTTATCCCCTGTTCTTCAAAGATCCTAAAAAAAGGTCAATTTTTAAAAAAATTTCGTTCATACACAATTTTTCTGTTCTTCATCCTTTATTTTATAAAACACCCTGTTGATTAGGACATTGAAAGTCATCACGGTTCCTTTCTTTGAGCTAAATACATCGGTTGTGAAATTTTAAAACGTCATAAGTCTACTAGAATCATAATGGCATTTCAATAAAATTGTGATGGCCTTCTAATGTGATAGTGTTTCCCTTGTGGGAACCATTAGATAGAACGGTGATGGCAGAAAGCTTTTAACTTAATACAGAACAATCTTAAAAGAACTTCGATGGTTATTGATAGTATATAGAGGTTATTGCTAGGGAGAGAGAAAAACTTCCCACCATCACGGTTCTATGGTTCCTAGCCATCACGGTTCTATTAGAACGGTGATGCTTTATATATCTTAAAAGGTCATCACAATCCTAATATAAATGATGCTTTAAAATTTCACCACCATCATGCTTTAATGTAACGAAAGAAGGGTGTATTAGGCAATAAAAGATGAACAACAAAAAAATATGGGTACGAATGAAGTTTCAAAAAAATAGATTTTTTTTCAAATTTTTTTTGAAAAAGGGATTTTTTTTATCATTTCCCTTAGACAAATTAACACCATGTCCCTCGATTATAAAATGGGATCATGTTTGTCTCAAATTACGTGCGGCACCCCTCTTACGGTGTTTTTTTTCCAAATTACCCCTTGTCAAATACCGGACAGCTATTTGCTATCCGCAAAACCAACAAGCCCTATTTCTCCAAGCATCATGAATCTCTCTTAATTTTTCTCTACCCCCAAACCATCTCTGTTCCCTAACATTACAATAGAAACTCAAAAAGCCTGCATAAAAACCTTCAAAAGCTCTCTACATCAATGTTTTGCATTGTACCCCCCATGGTAAAGGCAATTCCCAGGAGCCGCATACTTGCCCACCATGCACTCCTCTTCATCGCACACAAACACCGGGCACACGTCTCTCTTCTTCTCCGAAAATGAAATCTATTGAAATTTCGTTGGGTTTTGGGGCTTACTTATGCAAGGCCAAGTGAAGCTAAAACCAAATCAGCTAATATTCCTGTGGATAAACGAAATCAATTGAAATTTTTTAGACGTTTCAGGGATAAGTTATACAAGGCTTCATGGATGAGTTTATCAACGAAATAAATTGTTGCGTTTCTCTCTCTACCTCCTTTTTTCTCTCTCTGATTGCCATCGTTAAGAACTAACCCATTGCCCATTGTTGCGTTCTCTCTCTACCGCCTTTTCTCTCTCTGGCTGTCATCCTTAAAAATTAGGAAAGAATAGCTTATATCTGGTGTTTGTATTCATTTAAACGTAAAAAACCCATATGTTTGGTGTTCGGTTTACCGAACAAAGAGTAACTTGAAAAAAAAAAAACAAGGGGTGCCACCTATAAATTGAGACAAACATATTCCCATTTTAAAATTAACCTCACCCCCAATATTGCCCATGCATAAATTTCTCAAAATAAAACAAACGTCTTGACCATCATTTTCTAAATGAAATTTCGAGCCATGGTAGAAAGCTACATATTATATATGAGCTGTGAGATTAGCTTTCAGTTCTATAAGCGCTTGTGCTAATCCTTAGCCTCATTAATAGTTACAAATATTATGGTTCAAATAAAAATAATAATAGAGGGTGTGGTTTACATAAGGCTATAACCTTAGACAATCAAATTACGGTGCACTTCTAAACATCGTCATGAGGTGCAATTTTGGTATCGAAAATTTTCACGATGGTGCGAGAATCTATTTTTATCTCTAAATATAAAATTTTGAACTCTAAAAATTGTTCAAATTAGTAATATCTATAAGCATATAAAAATTTTGAAAATGGACGATCTATATAATGGGTTGCAAGATGTACTATTTTTTAATTTGAAATTTGTTTTTTTTCTTCAAATCTATACATCTTGATGGCGAGATAATCAATTACTTAAATCTTAATGTTAATATGATCAATTAGATGCTTTATAGTGTCAAAACAACTTTTTTTTAAAAAATTTTAAAGGTACCAATTATTTCTAAATTTTAAGATCTCAACCTTATACACATTTTTAAAACAAGTGTCCACCTTATACTTGTACAAACAAATTACCAACCCTTTGTCTTTACTCCTAGCGAGTGGGCGTCGAAATCCTGAAGGTGGGGTATTTTGGTCATTTCAATTGCCATGAGGAATGGATGTAGAATGGGACGCATGTTATGGAAGACAGCACATGATCTAACCGTCCAAGTAAAAAAACGTCGGCAGCCGAAGATACACAAAGGAAATACCGGAATCACCCTTAAACATCTTTTAATTTACAAATGAAGGAAAGAGTTTATACAAGGATGAGGCCCTAAACAATCAAGGTGCACCTCAAAAATTCACTTCGAATAAGTTGTTTCGATACTTCAAAATCTTCAAATCGATCAGCGCATTGGATATGAGAAAAAATGGATTTCAATTATTAGAAATAGTGCATCTTGTATTCTATTTTTTGCATCGTCAACTTTTAAGATTTTCAAATATTTTTAGTTACGCTCGATCTATACTATTTTTTAAGCTTTAATTGTATAGAGCCTAGGCTCTAAACAACCAAAATAAAGCGCACATTTTTTACTGAAAATCTTTGTGATAGCCTTAAAATATATTTTTATATAATTAAAACTTCAAAAATAATGTAAATCGAGCAATCTATAAAAACTTAAAAATTGACGGTGCAAAAATGCATTATAAGATGCACTATTTCTAAAACTCCAAATCCATTTTTTTCTCATGTCCATGCATCTTGATATTGAGATGATCAATTTCAGGATATTTGGCCATCAAAACAACATATTCTTATGAAATTTTGGAGGTGTGCTCTAATTTGATTGTTTAGAGCCTTGGTTCTATATAAACTTTTTTATTAGATGTGAAAATAAATTTTCAGATAATTAGAAAGATTTCTAGCACTGAAATAATATATTTTGCACTATTTAAATATGC